AGCTATTTGAATTAATAATAAACTACACCTTTCTTTATCATATTAAACATTCAAGTCTAACCACTATCAATTTCTTCTGTTCCTGGTTTCGCGCGATGACGTCGTGCAGCTATCTAGTTTAGTAATTAATTTCCGATTACTACTTTACCGAACAATAACATCAATATTGGACATACGAAAATAACAGTGAATTTTTTTTATCGGAGTTAAGTGACATTAATTCTGAAAAAAAAAATTCAGTTATTTTTTATCGTACGCCCAATATCTTATAATTATTTGAATGCTGAAGTAGTTATCTCATGAACATGATCGTCAATTTTTGATTGGCTAGGTAACGCGTAAAGCATATAAATTACTGTTACATAATCCTTATAATCACTGCATAGCGCGTTCTTAAAATTGGTTAAGTGTTTCCTTCTTATAATAAACATAATAAAGATGATGGTTGACAACATAAACGTAAATCCCGAGGAACATTATAACCCTAATACTACTCAGCAGTTTACGATTAACGAAGAGTATGTTTTAAAGTTTTTTTTTTGTTTCTAGTTCGAGTACTTCGACTTTATTAATTTCTTGTTTTAAAATAGTTTAAATGACTCCAGACAATTAAATTTAAAAGATGCAATTATATACTTAAATCAACAATTAAACGCTTGCGGCTATCATTCTTCTTTAGATTTTTTTAATAATAATGATGAAAAATCTGTTACCAAAATTGTTGATTGCATATCCGCGTTATTACAGCAACAACAAAAAGATGCTGCGTATCGAGAAGAAATGCACGATCAGCATCAAAAATTGCAAAGTGATTATGAATTGTTGACATTTACCATAGTAAGTTAATTTACTATCAACCTGTTCTTTATTCACTGCATTAACTTTAATTTCTTCCTTAGAAAACTTTAAAAACGAGAGCAGAGTTAAGCGAACGTGAAGTAGATACTTTGAGAGCTAAATTAATGTAACGCATTTTCTTTCCATTTTTCATCCCATTTTCTTCGAGAAAAATATGTCTTATTAAAAATTTTATTTACATCAGTAAAACGGAAGACCAATTACTTTCTGAATCCGAAAGACATCGGTCAACAAAAGATGAATTAATTAAAACGAAAGCTAATTTGCAAAATGTCAAATCGCAAGCTATGGTAAAAAATAAAATTTCGTCTTCAAAAATTTGCATATCTTTCATTCAAGAGAAATTTCTTTGATTTATAGCATGACATTAGAAAACGCGATACGGAATACACTAGATTTAAAGAGAAAATGCAAAAAGTTCTAAATGATAAATATTCCATGTGTGGACCTCAGGGTGTAAACCCACCACGGAAACAATTAACGAGAAACATGAATTATGCCGCTTCATTCATTAGTTCTGACGTTGACGTTCCTATTTTATTTGGTGGTTTGAGTCATATGGAAAAAGTATGTTATATTATTATTGTCGATCTACATT